ACCCTGGACAAAGGCAATGCACCAGAACACACCATATCAAAGAAACAGTTTGCCCACTCTATCAGACAGAATCCCAAACTGTTGCACATGATAGCCTTTGCCAAAATCCAAGAGACCACAGAAGTGACAAATGACAGGCTCAAGACCTTGTTAGCAGAGTTTCAAGAGGTTTTTCCCAAGGAAATCCCTGCACTACCCCCAAGCAGAGAGATTGACCATGCCATAGAAGTAACAGATGATAAACCAAGAAACAGAGCCCCATATAAGTTCTCCCCAAAGGAAATGGAGACTTTGAAGGAAACATTGAAGGACTACCTGGCTAAAGGCTGGATAAAACCCAGTAAATCACCATGGGGAGCTCCAGTACTCTTTGCTCCAAAGAAGGATGGGAAGCTACGGTTCTGTGTGGACTACAGGGCCCTAAATGCAATCACTGTCAGAAATTCCTACCCATTACCAAGAATTGATGCCCTCTTTGACCAACTGGGGAAGGCAAAGATATTCTCTAAAATAGACCTGGCATCTGGATATCACCAAATCAGAATTAAGCCTGAAGACACCTCTAAGACAGCATTCAACACAAGATATGGTCATTATGAGTTTGTTGTGATGAGCTTTGGCCTGACTAATGCCCCAGCAACATTTCAGACACTCATGAATAGCATCCTGGAACCATATTTAGAGAAATTTGTCCTGGTCTACTTAGATGACATTCTGATCTATAGTACCAGCATGGATGACCACATGAAGCACTTGAAGACAGTACTGGCTATACTAAAAAAGCACAAGCTATATGCACAACTTCCTAAGTGTGAATTCCTCACCAGATCAGTTGAATACCTTGGTCACATAATCTCAGATAAAGGACTACACATGGATCCAGCCAAGATAGATGCTATCCAGAAATGGGAAGCCCCAAAGTCACTCACTGAAATGAGATCCTTCCTGGGACTTGCATCATATTACAGAAGATTCATCAGGGACTTTGCAACTATTGCAGCCCCCTTACAGACTTGACCAAAAAAGAGAAAGACTATATATGGACCCCAAACTGTGAGACAGCTTTCCTAACTCTGAAAGAAAAGCTATGCCAAACCCCTGTGCTTCAGTTGCCTGATTTCTCAGAACCTTTCTGTGTATACACTGATGCTTCAGATCTAGCTGTTGGAGGGGTACTGACTCAAAAAGAACACCCGGTTGCTTATGAGTCCAAAAAGCTATCAGTAACTGAACAAAACTACCCAGTCCATGAAAAAGAACTCTATGCCATACTACATTGTCTGAGAGTGTGGAGATGCTACTTGGAGGGCAAACACTTTGTGGTATATACAGATCATGCATCCCTAAGATACATTCACACCCAGAAGCTATTATCCAGAAGAATAACTAGATGGATTGAAGAACTACAACAATTTGATTTTAAAATCCACTACCTCCCTGGGCCAAAGAATACAGTTGCTGATGCACTCTCAAGGCAACATATATCAATGGTAGATCATGAGTTGGACTGGCCAGAATACATGCCAGAGTACTTGGCAAGTCAGACAATGCCAGAAGATTTATCACAGGAAGTAAGGGTCAAGATTAAGAAAGAAGCAGAGAATTTCTCATATGGTGAAGACGAGGTACTTTACAGACACATGGAAGAAATAGGGCCTGTACCATATATTCCATTTGTATACAGAGGTGACATGATAATCAAGAATCATAAAGCCTTTGGACATCTGGGCATCCAAGGAACTTATGAAATAACTAAAAGGAGAGCCTGGTGGCCTAAACTCAAACAATTTATAGCTGAGACCCTCAAGACCTGCCCTGAGTGCCAGCTGGCTAGACCATACAACAAGGAACATGCCCCATTAGAACCACTGACTCCAGTTCCAGCATTCTACAGATGGGGAATTGACTTCATTGGAATATTGCCTGAAACTTCAAGAGGGAACAAGTGGATCATAACTGCAATTGACCATACCACTAAGTGGTGTATAGCAAAAGCCATGCCAGCAGCTACTGCAAAAAATGTTGCAAAATTCCTTTACCTGGAAATCTTTATGCAGTTTGGATGCCCAGGTGAAATTCTGTCTGACAGAGGAGCAAACTTTTTGGAACAAACCTTGAAAGAATACCTTCAGATAATGGGGGTTAGACATTTGAAGACATCAGCATACCACCCTAGAACAAATGGGGTCACAGAGAGGTTCAATGGACTCTTTGGGAAGATGCTGACTACTTATGTCAAAGGAGCCAAACATAAGTGGGATGAATTTGTACATCAAGCACTCTTTGCCTGTCGTATTAGAGTCCATTCAGCAACACAAAAGTCCCCCTTCTACCTAGTGTATGGTACACATCCAAGAATCCCAGGTGATACCTTACCACCATACATCTGGGACTTAAAGAACCAAAAAGACTTGGCAGAATTCAGAACAAGGGAACTGGAAGAATTAGGACATGCAAGACATGATGCCATCAAGAATTTAAAACGACAAGCAGAGAAGATGAAAGAACAGTACAACAAAACAGTGGTAACAAAACCCTTAACTTTGGGAAAACTTGTATTAGTCCGAAATGAAAGTAGGCTAAAACTAGAACCACATTGGGTTGGACCCTTTATTATCACAAGAGAAATGCCCTTCAATACATTTCAACTCGCAGACATGTCAGGTAAAGTAAAGGAGGACCTAGTGCATAGAGACCGACTAAAGGAAGCACAGCTAAAAAACCCAATGACACCACCAACCAAATACTGGTATTACAAGTCCGATAGACAGGACTCTTCAGGAGAAGAACCTCTTTAAGTGTGGGAGTATGTTATGATTTAAATCCTAACTAGTCACTACCGATCACTTGAACACTACTGATCGAACACCTGGAATTCCACACAGACGATCAATCGCACTCAGTGATACACACGTTATTTAATACATCTTGAACCCTCCTTTTGGAAGCTTGCCCTACGTTATCGGAAGCTCTCCCTCCGAGGCTATCTCTATATAAACTCCTTTGAACACTATCAATAAAGCATCAACCTTTTACCGGTTCATCAACTATTCAGATAACCTCTCTGATTCGTATTGGACATCCTCCGGTCCTCCTCCGCTTGCCCTCGATTCATAACACTCTCGAGCATCGGCCATACATACCAGAAAATACCGGATCCCGTCCGATCTCCGAAGTCAAACTGGTAATGGCCTAGTCAGTACTACGGTGGGGGACCACGTGGGAATACTAGGTGCTGATGTTTTCTTCCGAATTGCTCCACTACACAATACTCTTTTGCTTCTGTTATGTGTGCGTGTGTCTGTTCTTCCTTTGCTACTGCTGTCTTTGGTATAAAAGAGTTTGCTTTCCAGATACAATGCTGCTCTCTATTCCCTAGTCATTATTGCTGAAGGGCAATTTTAGATAGTATATATAAGAAAGGGTTGTCGTATAATGCCTCCTTGGCTCAGTTGGCAGAGCGTCTGCCTAGTAAGCAGAAGGTCGCTGGTTCGATTCCGGCAGAAGGCATGTTTTACATGTTGAACCTTTTATACTTTTATACTTGTACAAGAAAATGTCTTTATTGTCTACTTCAAAGGGCTGTGCTAAGCATCCAAATGTTCAAAACATTAAGTGGCCGTTGCCCATGTCATTTACTAAATCTGGCTTTGGCTCTTATGTGACTCTTGAGTAAAAGCAAGCAAAATTACTCCAAAAGCAATGAAGAGAGTGGGATTCGAACCCACGCCTCCGAAGAGATCACGGCCTTAACGTGACGCCTTAGACCAACTCGGCCATCTCTCCATTCTTGTGGTTTGTTTACCATCGTTCTAAATGTCAATTTAACTTACCCGCCATTTAGATCAAAATCTATTGCTCGCCGTTGGTGGCTTAGTCAGGTAAGTGCAATTATAGGAGCTCTCCACGTACCTGCTGTCTCATTATAGACTTTTTTTGTAACGCAGTTGATTAACAAGCTAGTAACGGTGCTATTGTACAATTTATCTCCATATTATATTTTAAATCAGGATCAAATAACAAAACCGAACATAGCTCAGTTGGTAGAGCGGAAGACTGTAGTGTTATATAGCAATCTTTAGGTCCCTGGTTCAAATCCGGGTGTTCGGAATTTTTGGTTTGTGCAAACCCTATTCCTACGGGTATCACTTGTGGGTAGAGCCTTGCAGCAAAGGCTCGCCTTTTTCTTGTTGGATGTGGCTCTTTACATACGATATTTGCAATACTTTATGTTATTGCTTTACCACCGTATCTGCAATGGTTTTAAGAAATATTGGCCCTTCCCATAGTGCATTGCCCTAAGTATACAATTTTTGCTTTGTTGCCCCTGAACGATTGCTTCCTTTTTGATACTTGTTGGTGGGAATACCGGTTGCCAGGGAAAACAAAATATAAAAATGCGCTCCTGGGTGGGCTTGAACCACCAACCTCCTGATTAACAGTCAGACGCGCTAGCCAATTGCGCCACAAGAGCTTCAACTGACAAACGTTGGTTTCTCAAAATACTTGTATCAGTGTTCATCTTGGTTGATAGAAGCATTTGCATAAAACTAGCTTAGCAAGGATTCTCTGGATGGTGCACCTGCCTCCCAAAGTCAGCCATATCAGTATGTTCTATGCCGGGTGGATTCCCTAACCCGACGGTTTCCATAATTCTTTGAAGCATCACGGAAATCATCTTTTAAGCGTTTGATAACCACTGTAGAATGGCAAACTCCGACCATATAGGAAACCAACACTTGACAAAAACGACATATTCCATTAAAACTTTGTACACTCAATAAGGCCCGGCTAGCTCAATCGGTAGAGCGTGAGACTCTTAATCTCAAGGTTGTGGGTTCGACCCCCACGTTGGGTGATGTATATTTTTTATTCTTTGTTTTTCACTTTCCTGGAATTGAGCAATAATTTTTGTGTTTTGAACGGTTGTCTGTATATGATATTTAAGCCGGATAGTGATATGGAAGAATGAAACAATGAATCCCAATAGAGTAATTATTGGACGTATAGCTCAGTGGTAGAGCAATTGACTGCAGATCAATAGGTCGGTGGTTCAAATCCGCCTGCGTCCTCATCTTTTTTGCTAATTGAAGCGTTCATTAAAATACAATTTCGCCTAGCCACCAATTACATCTACTCACATAAATATAGCATTCAAAAGATTGATGAAATTCATTTAGAATAATCCAAAATGGAGGACCTGGGTATCGATCCCAGTGCCTCTCGCATGCTAAGCGAGCGCTCTACCATCTGAGCTAGACCCCCATATATATACACCTCGGTGGAAAACCACTTATCTTTTTTAATTCTTCAATAGATGTACTCGCATGGCAAAGAAAATACTGGCTAGCATTGAATTGAGGACCCTGTTAACAATGGTAATGTGTATGTCTCTTATTATCAACTTTGTGCGATCAAGGGGGCATTCATTGATGTATGACTGATGGCTATTTTGGAGCATTTTTGTTATCCACACTACAGATGCTTTTGTTTCTTTCGGTTTGTTAATAGAAATCTCTCTGTGGCTACGCTATTAAGAGCTTCTGCCGTTTTCCCATATATAGCGCAATCTAGAAGTACACTAAATGTGAAAAGTAATCAAGCCTAACAGATCAGATTTCCGTATTTTCTAAGACGGTTGTTTGCACTGGTACTGGCTCAATGGTTTAGTGGTATAATTCTCCCTTAGGGTGGGAGAGGTCCTGGGTTCAATTCCCAGTTGAGCCCTTCTTTTGTTTGTTTTCCTGTCAAAATGGATTGTTAGTAAGAATGGGGTACTCTGAGCTGCAGCAGCAATTAATGTTGTGGATTCCCCTTGGTAATTCTTGATTGACAAGTAATGTAAAAATGCAATTTTTCCATCACAACAGAGCCCTCTATTTAGTTACTTGGGGCAACTGACTACCTTTGGTTGTAATACGCACAAAGCCCGATTTAGTATCTACGCTAGGCATACTTGATCCAAATAATTTAGAGGGTCAGGAAAAGTAATGTCTTCGCTCGGATTCGAACCGAGGACCGTCTGTGTGTTAGACAGACGTGATAACCAACTACACCACGAAGACATATGTTTATTGGAAAGGATAGTAATGTACTTGATTGTGTTTATACATAAGGTCAATGTATAGCAAGTTTTGTGTACCGCGTGTCAAGTGCACTGGCCAAGGAATATGCCAAATTTAAGTACATCGCAACCACGGTTTCCAGCATAATTACAAATGTTTATTTTAGGTATGGAAAAAGTCTATTGGGGTCTGCTATGGGATTGGATAGTATATCTACCTGTTGTCCAAGAAATGAATAGCGTATGATAGTTACATTATGATTTTAGAAAATCAAATGTCCAACGATCATACCATATATTATAAGTGTGGGGGGTTGGCGCAACGGTAGCGCGTTCGCCTCCAGAGCGAAAGGTTGCGTGTTCAAATCACGCACTCCTCACTTAATTTTTGCCACTTTTTAGCACATGTTGTAATGATGGTTAACTCAACCTCAGTCGCAGAGCAAGGTATTGTTTATTGATACATATCTCTTTGCTGTGTGTTCCTTTGTCCTATTTGATAACGTGTATGTCTACACTATCCATGTGCGGGTTTATTTTAAGCAAAGTTATTGATAACTAATTTATATTGCTAGCTCAGCTCTGATTACATACATGGCTATATCAGAGCTACAAGCTAAGCTCGCATAGCTCAGTTGGTTAGAGCGTGGTGCTAATAACGCCAAGGCCGCAGGTTTGACCCCTGCTGTGAGCATTCTCTTTTAGCCTTAGCGTAGTGTTACATCATGGCTATCCACTTTAGACTTGCGTTTATCTTTTCACGCTTTGCTGATATTATCAAGCATTTCACATACCTACTGTACACTCCAATGCCTCTGTATCATCTCTATATTACACCGCTATCAGATGCTCCGGTATATTAGAATGGTACTGACTATCCTAGCATAAGAAATTAAGCCACTCAGAGCTTCAGGGGAATTGGGATCTCTATCCGGTGTGATGAAAATGATGTTTCTGTCTTTATGAGTAGTGCCCAAACCAAAGGGATTGCACCTGGTAGATGGCACTATCCTGGGTTCTCGGATAGTATAGTGGTAAGTATCCCTGCCTGTCACGCAGGAGACCCGGGTTCAATTCCCGGTCCGAGAGTTTCTTTTGAGCTTTGAAGTAATATTTTGTATGAAAAACCTTGGTGCATGACAGAAACGAAAATCTAACCTCGATTGTGATGCTAAGTGGCCCCATAGATATTAGTCAAGATACTTTCATTTGTTAATAGAAAGCTCTGACTATATCATTAAGAGTATGTATCGAAATGCTTAGGGTGTGGTATACGAACCCTTTGGATTTGCTAGACAATGATATACAAGGATATGTCAACTGTGAATATTTCATAGACTCAACTGTGCTCCTCCGCATTGGTCCAGTGGTCAGGATCTCTCGCTCTCACCGAGAAGGCCGGGGTTCGATTCCCCGATGCGGAAGTTCAATAATACCTTTTAATCCAAAGGTACAACTTCATGGCCCGTTTCGTTGAAGCAATGCAATCCAGCTGTTTATATATTTTTGCCGGAATGGTGAATTCCTCGTTAAGAACCTTCGAGTGGCGTGCAACCTGTATACTGAAGTGTTGTTAGCCGGGTGGTCTCTTTGTATCACACAATACCCTAATTGTGCATATTAGGAAAACAAATACCCGGTTGTATTTATACATAGTATAACACCTATACGAGATAAAAATGTATAGACACGGTTATCTATATGAATGAGCATAGTTAATGGCTAATACGAACTACTGATATACGAAAGCTTCGCTCTCAAGCTAAGAGTTACTTTGAGAATCAGTAGCATATGATCTATAGTCTATACATTTTTATCTCGTATAGGTGTTATACTATGTATAAATACAACCGGGTATTTGTTTTCCTAATATGCACAATTAGGGTATTGTGTGATACAAAGAGACCACCCGGCTAACAACACTTCAGTATACAGGTTGCACGCCACTCGAAGGTTCTTAACGAGGAATTCACCATTCCGGCAAAAATATATAAACAGCTGGATTGCATTGCTTCAACGAAACGGGCCATGAAGTTGTACCTTTGGATTAAAAGGTATTATTGAACTTCCGCATCGGGGAATCGAACCCCGGCCTTCTCGGTGAGAGCGAGAGATCCTGACCACTGGACCAATGCGGAGGAGCACAGTTGAGTCTATGAAATATTCACAGTTGACATATCCTTGTATATCATTGTCTAGCAAATCCAAAGGGTTCGTATACCACACCCTAAGCATTTCGATACATACTCTTAATGATATAGTCAGAGCTTTCTATTAACAAATGAAAGTATCTTGACTAATATCTATGGGGCCACTTAGCATCACAATCGAGGTTAGATTTTCGTTTCTGTCATGCACCAAGGTTTTTCATACAAAATATTACTTCAAAGCTCAAAAGAAACTCTCGGACCGGGAATTGAACCCGGGTCTCCTGCGTGACAGGCAGGGATACTTACCACTATACTATCCGAGAACCCAGGATAGTGCCATCTACCAGGTGCAATCCCTTTGGTTTGGGCACTACTCATAAAGACAGAAACATCATTTTCATCACACCGGATAGAGATCCCAATTCCCCTGAAGCTCTGAGTGGCTTAATTTCTTATGCTAGGATAGTCAGTACCATTCTAATATACCGGAGCATCTGATAGCGGTGTAATATAGAGATGATACAGAGGCATTGGAGTGTACAGTAGGTATGTGAAATGCTTGATAATATCAGCAAAGCGTGAAAAGATAAACGCAAGTCTAAAGTGGATAGCCATGATGTAACACTACGCTAAGGCTAAAAGAGAATGCTCACAGCAGGGGTCAAACCTGCGGCCTTGGCGTTATTAGCACCACGCTCTAACCAACTGAGCTATGCGAGCTTAGCTTGTAGCTCTGATATAGCCATGTATGTAATCAGAGCTGAGCTAGCAATATAAATTAGTTATCAATAACTTTGCTTAAAATAAACCCGCACATGGATAGTGTAGACATACACGTTATCAAATAGGACAAAGGAACACACAGCAAAGAGATATGTATCAATAAACAATACCTTGCTCTGCGACTGAGGTTGAGTTAACCATCATTACAACATGTGCTAAAAAGTGGCAAAAATTAAGTGAGGAGTGCGTGATTTGAACACGCAACCTTTCGCTCTGGAGGCGAACGCGCTACCGTTGCGCCAACCCCCCACACTTATAATATATGGTATGATCGTTGGACATTTGATTTTCTAAAATCATAATGTAACTATCATACGCTATTCATTTCTTGGACAACAGGTAGATATACTATCCAATCCCATAGCAGACCCCAATAGACTTTTTCCATACCTAAAATAAACATTTGTAATTATGCTGGAAACCGTGGTTGCGATGTACTTAAATTTGGCATATTCCTTGGCCAGTGCACTTGACACGCGGTACACAAAACTTGCTATACATTGACCTTATGTATAAACACAATCAAGTACATTACTATCCTTTCCAATAAACATATGTCTTCGTGGTGTAGTTGGTTATCACGTCTGTCTAACACACAGACGGTCCTCGGTTCGAATCCGAGCGAAGACATTACTTTTCCTGACCCTCTAAATTATTTGGATCAAGTATGCCTAGCGTAGATACTAAATCGGGCTTTGTGCGTATTACAACCAAAGGTAGTCAGTTGCCCCAAGTAACTAAATAGAGGGCTCTGTTGTGATGGAAAAATTGCATTTTTACATTACTTGTCAATCAAGAATTACCAAGGGGAATCCACAACATTAATTGCTGCTGCAGCTCAGAGTACCCCATTCTTACTAACAATCCATTTTGACAGGAAAACAAACAAAAGAAGGGCTCAACTGGGAATTGAACCCAGGACCTCTCCCACCCTAAGGGAGAATTATACCACTAAACCATTGAGCCAGTACCAGTGCAAACAACCGTCTTAGAAAATACGGAAATCTGATCTGTTAGGCTTGATTACTTTTCACATTTAGTGTACTTCTAGATTGCGCTATATATGGGAAAACGG